TGTAGCTACTAATTTTTAAACTACCAATAAAGATATGAGCAAGGCCTCACCTTAATACCAAAAAAAAAAAAAATAATTTTTAAAATTTCATTTATTAATAGTAGTCTGACTGCAAATACTTCTTGGTAAACATAAAGTTACTAAAAGTACAAAGTTGGCAATTGTTTGAGTTCAGATTTCTTAGTAGGATCACTTTTAGATGCAAGTGATCTATAATTATTTGAAATCTTGTAAGTAGTTTAAGGATTTTAATAGTGCATTGAAGAAAAATTAAAACTATGTTAGCATTTTTTTTATGTTAAAATAGAATAGTACTGGGCAAAACATTGTTATTGACCTATTTGGATCATTGTTATAGACCTCTAAGAAAAAAATACATTCAGTATATCATTATTGATCTATTAAAAAAAAAAAGAATACATTATTATTTTATAGTTATCTAATGTTGTCGCATAAGCTTTTTGATTAATATCTTAAGATAAAAATTAAACTTATTTAAAAACTGACTATTTGTTTAATTTTATTCTTTTTCTATCGAAGTATTAACCAAGTTTGTATATTTAATTTAATATTATCATGTAATAATGTACTAATTTTTTTGTTCTTAGCAAGCCAACAATGATGGTCCAGTCATAATTCATGAATCCAGAAATCTTATTTGTGGTAATGAGTTACTTTATATAATAAGATACTATTTTTAAGAGATACTACAAGCAATAGTCTATAGTAGTTATTTATTTCCTTGTTTTTAGTATTAGGATAACTTTTGATTAATATTTACTTACTTCCCATCTTAGAATGTAGCTACACTTTTATCATCGTTAATATTGTCAACTTCTTATTGATATCTTTGTTTGAATCATTAATATTGATATGTTCTTCTGCTTTTACTTTAATTGGTGCTTCTATTGGTGCTTCTGTTGGTGCTTCAGTTAGTACTTCTATTGGTGCTTCTGTTAGTGCTTTTATTGATGATTCTGTTGGTGCCTCTATTGGTGCCTTCATCAATATTTTATTATTTTTTTGTTACCACATTTTCTGCCATCTTTGTTATTAGTTTTGTTTTTACTTTGCATTATATTTGTCTTCATTGCCATATTCATCTTTGTTGTTATATACATCTTCTTCTTCATCATTATATCTATCTTCATCTTTGTCACCATATCCATCTTCATCTTCATCACTGTATCTGTCCCCATCATTGTCACCATATCTATCTCCATCCTAATTACTATATCTGTCTTTGTTTTCATTACTATATTTATCTTTAACTTTGTTATATTTGTCTTTATTGTTATATTTATCATAATTTTTATTTATTTATGTTTTTAAAGTGATTTAATTTTCTTTTATAATTAATTTATATATTATAATTTTTTTTTTTTTTAACTTAGCCAGCCTTGCTGATCACCTTTATTAAGATTCTTGTATACATGTTATACAAAGTTGGCTTAAATTTTGGTTCGACATCC